TGCTAATAACATAGTCTGTCGTACACTAGAATTTGTTAGCGAACCTTGACAGACACTTCGGACTAAGCACGCACGACTCAAAAGAAAGTTTGTTCAGAAAAGGGTCTTTACTTTGGAAAAGTATTAACAGCTTCAAACAAAATTCACCGCGTTTTTTTGGTGTTCTTCTCTGATTTTCTCGCTGTCTTTGTGAGTGCTTCGTTTTTTGGTTTTGTCCTGCAGAGGCCAAACGTAGCCAAGCAATTACAAACTGAAATAAAACTTGCACTGAGGTCACAAAGTACAATAATTCTCCTGGCGAGACAAAGGCTGGCTCTCTAAATGGCACAAGGCCACAAGACGAACTGGCACAGGACAAAGCGGAGACAGCGGACTGATTTATACATGAGGTAGGGGGAACAGGGGTGGAAAACAATCAGGGGGCGGCCCGGGGCAGACGCTGCTACGGATGGCCGGAAAACACACAAAGGGAGCGAAGTAGGGGACCTGAACATGATTGAGGACAAGAGGTAAGTACAAAAATAAAACAGGGCAAGGTGCAATGACAGGACTAGACAGGCTGAACAAAAGGACTTGACTAGGCGAACATAAAAAAAAATCTCTAACCTGGGCTATGAACTAAACGTGAAACAATAACATGAACCTGATTAACATGACATGAATAATTTAGCAGACATGACGGGATGTTACAAGAATATTCTTGTATGTTTAACACAGACAGAGATGAATGTGAGTTAACCTCAAGTTCCCCCAAGTAACTTTCTTGATTGGTCAACAAGGAAATGAAAATGCTAACTATACAATATACCTGATTGCTCCATGGTCAATTAAGGCTTAGGGGGAAGCAGATGAAATCAATGGTGTTCTTGCAGAGGATTTAATGGAGAATTAAAACATGTTAGGAAATGTCCGACATCTCCCAGCTTTACAAACTTTAGGGCTTGTGTGGGAGTCTGTGTGTAAATAAAAGAGGGCAGTAATAAGCTCCCTAGTCCTGATAATTGCAGTCAATTTAGCTATGAGTAGATGTGAGGGTGAATGGAGCTGGTGTTATCTACATGGGCCCAGCCTGTGATAGTAACGCACGGTCCCAGGGTCCTGGGAGACTAATAACACAGTAGGATTACTGAGAGCTCACTCTGCTTGCACCAAGGACATTGCCAATAACAACTTTATCAGCCTCCTCCATGCGCCTTGGGTTCTGGCATTTGTAACTGCTGGAAATTAAGAATCGCTTTGTTTTGTCTCCAAGCTGGGGATTGTCGACTGTGGCTGTAATCAAGACAAAAAAAATATTCGTTCAAAAACCTTTTTGATAAAACCTTGGGCAATTTCATCATGTCACTGTCATTTTGCCACATCCCTATCAGTTGATTAATCAGGCAGAGTTGCGGAAGACAACCATTTGAGGTTTCGAAGGATTTTCTACGAAGACTACGGCCGTCTTCGTGCTTGACAAGGATGTCAGACAACCTCATAACCTCTTAATGGGGGCTAAGGAAGGGCACACAGGCCTACTACACATTTTGATTTGCATATATTTGCAAAGCCATTTAAACCCCCATCATTTTATGCTTTGTGTCTATAAACATAACACATCAGTGGTGAGGTAGAGTGGTGGTTCAATCCCTAACCTCCTGCAGTCTACATGTCAAAGTGTCCTTGGGCCAGATACTGAAGGTCCATTGTATTTTAGCGTGTGATGTTTATTGTTCCTGATCAGCAGGTGGCACTTTGTATGGTACATGTAGCCTCTATCACTAGTGTATGAATGCGTGTGTGAATATGAAAATAATGTATGAAATCAATATTGAAATAACCCGTTAGTTGCAGCCCTATTGCCATCTAAGAAATGTAACACCCTGAAGATTACTTTCATCATGCTGTCATAACCCGCTAATATACCAATGTAGAAATGCATGGCTAGTGTCAAATGTCTAGTCTTATATCTACAATTCAGTTCAGAATCAAGCACACAGATAAATTAACATTTAACAATAGCATAACTAGAGCACTTCCTGCAAAATACATAACAAAATGATCTACTCTTGTTGCAAACAATCTCCACTTCCTGCATCTCATGATCCATATTGCCAAAGAACGAGTGCAATTCTCTTTCCTGCTCATAACTGAGTTTGCTGAACCAGATGTTTTTCCCCCTAATTTTGTGCCATTGTGCAACACTGCATGATAAGAAAAATGTTGCCCCCCTCCCCTGAAATGAGCCAGATGCTGCTGACATTGCTGCACTGCAGGGAGCACCTGACATTAACACAGTGTTCTTCAGGGATGTGTTTAATATGTATAGGAGCCCTTTTCTCTTTGAGCAGACGGGCCCTCTTATCTCTTGAAGAGATGAATTCAAACACTGACCCCCATCCAGTAGCTAGCATGCACATGCCTTAAAGGGCCCATGTCATGCTTTTCCGGTTATTTCCCGTCCCCTTGTGTGTTATGAAGGTGTAGCGAGTAAAACTCTAACACAGAAAAGACCTGTCTATGCTGCCCCAAAACGCCTCGTTGGAGATTTCTCATTTTCCATCGTTTGCTTCCTGGGTTCTGTGACGTGTGAACACCCAAATCAACAACAAATGACCCAATTGGCCCAAATGGACCAATCCGGAGCACTTCACACACCACACATCCCTTGGTTAACTAACAGGGAGTCCCCATTGACTTGCATAGAGCTCCCTGAACGCTGGTAATAGACAAGTTGAGATGGCGGAGAAATGCTCTCCGCAGACCCATTCTCACAGCGTTATAAACCTTTTTCTTACTCAATATCAAGCCACACTTATTGTTTTTACTTCGGCTGTGAGTGTTTGTGTGTGCTCAGGATGAGTTTCGCTTGTTCTCGCTGTATCGCGGAAACCTGTCCGCTCCTCGCAGCAGCGAGCAGCAACGAGCCTCGCAACGTCCCGACCAATCAGAGCACACTGGGCTCACAGGGAGGGGGGGCAGGAGCTCCAACAAGCCGTTTAGGTACGAGAGAGTGATACACATACTTACTAGAGATGCTGTATAGAGAAACCAAACTAGTGAGTTTGAGAAACCAACTGTGAGTTTGGAAAATTGACCATTAAATCTATTCTAGTAGACCTCACCAATGGACATTATGATCAGTAGAAAGGCCATGACATGGGACTTTAGTGAGTGGAGCAAAGCAGTGATGTTCAGAAACCAGTCACAGTTGGGTCTAAATGTGTTTAAATATGCTTGGTCTCCTCACCAGGTCCAATCTGTGGTTGGTGTAGAGCCTTTTCCTCCGCTGCTGTACGACTGTGATGCTGCCGAGGCTATCTTCTCTCTGGCTGAAGAGGTATTCAAAAGAGGATATCAATGGACACGTATTCAGCCCGTAATAGCTGGTAACACTCACTTGATTAGTATATAAAAAGGCATCCCACTATATGTGCACATTCCAGATATTCAACGATAATGAGTTGATCTCTCTATTTATAAATTCTGGCGGGTTCTTTGTGTTCAACGCTGGAATGTCATGAGCCTACTATAGTCTGGTCCTGTCAAATCATACATACATGTATATTATATAAAAGCGCACAACAATAAAGCAGACTGAAAGGCATTCTACTAAAGCTGTTTTTGGTGGATTTAATGTTACATTTTACTCTGAATTCCATATAAAAAAAGAGCATGTTTGAACCACTTGTAAATCTTAAAAGGCAAACGCTCATTGTATAATCATAACTCTGCATTTGTTCGCGATTGGGTCACAAAATATGCAGTAAGATGTTAGAGCACAATTCATATAATTAAACCCCTAAATGTTTCCTCGGAAGGCCGAGCTAATCATACACATCTCGCCATAGATGATAGAGACTTGCACTTCAAGCTTAGCGTATGGTCAGCTTCCATGTCTGACGATGAGTCCTTTCAATATAGTGACATAACTGTCTGCAAGATGTAAGAACTGAAGCTAGACTCTGAATAAAGTGTTGGAGGTCACACTGAATGGTTCAGCCATTCGTTGTCTCATTAGAGACGGATGAAGTCACTTCAAATTATTATGTGTCAGTAAACTGTCTGTAATATATAAAACCTGAGCATATTTCTGAAATATAAGTGTTGAGTTTCGATGGTAAATGTGATGAGCCATTCTATTGGGNACACTTTAACATTTCGAGTTGTTCCGAGCTCCCGCTGGATTTTATCATCCCCAATGAGATGTAGGAACATCGTCACCTCCTTGGTCGACCACGGTGTGCTTTTCTTTGACGTTGCCATTTTTGTAGCTCCTCCGTTTATAAAAATGCTGCAAGCTTGCTTCTAGATATATAGGGTATATATATGCGACGCTAGTGATGATCTCGCGCGCGATCTTGTGACGATTCTCTCTGACCAATCAGCAGTCGAGAGTGTTGACGTCACTAGTTCAGCCCTGGCCCTGGGCTGATA